TGGTTAATCTTTAGAAAATCAGTAGTGATCAACCTTTCCAACGTCAATGAGCGAATTGCCTTTTTCTTGCAACCGCCGTTGCTCCCATTTAATTCTTCGAAAATCATTGATTGACTGAAGAAACTTTCGTTGGTGCTGTCGCAATTTCAGTTCGTCACCCTTGAACGGTGATTTTTTGTACTTGTGTATCAGCCTTAAAATATTTGCAAACTTATACTCATAACACGCAATGCAATTTTGGTTGTTCACATTAACATTCGTTCATTCTTACATTAAAAACTTACAATGACATTGATAGAACAACGGAAAATATGACTCAGAATAAGTCGTAATAGGCTAAGCGTCAAGTTGAGATAACCTAACGCTACAGATTTGCATTAGTCAAAAATTTTTGAAATATTTTTCGACTAGAAGTTAAAACTACACACCAAATATTCTGCAAAACTGAAGCAGCTGCATTCCTACAGCGACTGGATAGCTTTGAATCGGACATAAAATTGTTGACATGTTTCTCTGGCTTACTTAATTCCAGCTTCCTAGAAATAACGGCGATCAACGCAGATGAAACACCGGCTCCCTGAAACACTTAACAATTATGCAACAGATGATTTAGATGATAAAAGTTATGTCAAACTGCGTGAGATGTAAAATTGATAATTTTTTTCACAACAACAAATCATCACTTATCAATACATACCACAATTCCCGTGGTTATAGATAAGGTTCGACCGCAATAGGTATTTGGAACAATATCACCATAACCTATAAGAAATCATTGAAACTGCAATCTGCCTGACAGAATCCTCGACGACACCAAAAAAGAAAAAAAAAAAAAGAAAAAAACGACAGTTAAACATTGACTTGCACATTTGTCTGCTTAGCCAACTCATTAACCGTTAACCGGATAATCCTTATAACGTTTGAAGGTAAGATTAAGTGTTAAACTGTTTCAGATAATAACAGCTAATCAAACTGCTTTGGCTGCATCAGCTTTACAGCGAAATGCACTTTAAAAAATTTTATGAACTTTACTTTATCTGCACTTGTTGCCAGCAAAACTTTTTAAAAAAATCAAAATACTTTCAACATTTTAATCAGGGTTTGCCAAATTAGTTCTCAAAAAAGTAATTATTAAATTTGTGCTTAAACTAAAAAATCGTTGAAAAACTTCTGGAAGAGAGCTGAGGTAAGCAAAATACAATTTTTGCAAAGTTGTTTTCAGCATTTTTTACCTTACTGTCAAAATGTTTGAAGGTAAATGAACCTCTAAAAAGCCAACCTAAAGAAAACTTAAGATACTTCAAAAATCAAAAGTTCTTTTAAAAATTTATTCAAATACAAAGCAGATTTTTTTTCTCAAAATACTGAAGCAAGTTTTAGTAAACTTTAACAACATGATTTTTCTATAACGCTACTATCTTGTTATCATGTAAATGTCATACGAACCATATAATTAATGTCACTTGTATTGAGCAAAAAATTTATTGCATATATGTACAAATTTTTTTTTATTATAAAATCAACTGAAAGCATTTTGGAAAGCGTTGTTCGATAAATGTGAGTAATTTCTGAATGACTTACCAATCGACATGAAAGTAACCTGAAAAAAAAAGTTCAAATCAGTTGAGCTAATAGTTGGTGACATGTTTACAAAAATGTTAATATTTTCATGATATTAAGTACTATTTTTATGCATAAATGATATGTTATTTAAATACTAACAAGAAATATTTTGCATTTATACTAATCTAAATAAAAAAGTAGACAAATTATCAAACAACTTGAAAAGGTGGACGTCATTAGCAAGAACGGTAAACAAAGAAAATAATCTTGACACTGTTTGAAACTTTAGTAATTTTGATAAAACAACAACAATTCAAATATAAGAAATGCCTGACTCATTATTCATTTTTTCCAAAAATGATAAATTTAGCAGAGGCTGAATTTTTTGTGATTTTTTTAAGCATTATAAGTAAGAAGACTACAGTCTGCAAAGTTTGATAATCAATTTCTCCACAAATAACTAAAGAAATTCTATCGCTTTTGACCAATGGAACAAAGCCGCATTTGTTATGATTTTTGTTATCTTTATAAAATTCCTCAATTTTAACAGATACTTATATAAGCTAACAATCTTAATTTATGCAATTAGAAGACTGATATGCTTTTTTAGCTGTATGAAAAAAAAGAAAGGAAAAAATCAAAAACTTACGATGATAAACCATATAGAATTGGCATAATAATGTTGTGCTGGTGAAACGTCATCATAACTAAAAAGTGGCAAACGTTTAGTTCAGCACTAACATTTACATTGTTCTGTTTAATAGGTGAGAAAGCAGATTTGTGAAAATTAACCCAAAAAATAATCCCAAGTTAAAAAGGATCACCAAAGAAATACAGTACCCGTTAATATCCCAAATAATAATGGTTTGACAGAGACGATAGAAAAGATTGTAATTTGCTAATCGTTAGAATCTACCAACAAGCATCAAAGAAATTTTTACCCATACAAAACAATAGCGTTAGTGTAACAGGAAGAACAAGCATCGGTCAGTTTAGGCATGCAAAAAAAAAAAACCAGGGATACCTTTCCCAAAAGCAGACAGAGTACATTAATCTTTTTCTGTTATTTATACTTTAAGGTAATAAGTGGTTATTCAGAAAAATTGTGTTTGTTAAGATTCTTATAACATCAACAACATTTTCAAGTTATTGTATCGGTACAGTTCTGTTATATTTATATAAATGTATATATATATATATATTTATTTATTTATATAAATATAAATATATATATATATATATATATATTTATATATTTATTTATTTATTTATTTACGTACATATTTATAACCTTTTAATGCCTATAAAGCAGTTATCGAAGAGCACAGATACAATAACGCTCCGCTTGCATTTGATATTTTTGCATCTTACAGTTACTGTCTGTATTAGAAAGCTTGCTAGTTATTAGGGGAAAAAAAAAGAAAAAAACGGATGACAGTTGAAGAAAAACTTTCATTATTAACAAAAATACCGTACGTTGTATAAAGCGACGGGTTTTGTTGAAAAAGGCTGTAATTTGCTGCTCTGCAAAGAAAAAACAACAAACAAATCTTTTCTAAATCATATATACCCTTTCTTGCTGGTTTCCCTTTTTTTGAGCTTTAGATTCGAGTTTCAATTTTAAGTTTCTAGAGAACTATCAAGGTAATTTTATTTTCTTGATGCCTTTGCTGGTGTTACGTTAAATCAACAATCATATCCAACTGTCCAAAAAACTTTTTTCTCTTTACAAGTGTTTTAATACAGTTAGACAAACGTACATTTTTTTCTACTGAGTAAACACTAATAAACTTAAGAATAAAAAGAAAAAGAAAAAAGTAGAAGTAAAAAAAGGTAACTGAAAAAATAATGGAGTTAGAACAAAACGTAAAAAATCGACACCAAAAAAAAAAAAAA